CAACTCATCCCTGCTGTTCCAGCCGACTGTTCCTCAGAGCCCCGCAGGAGCACTGGGACTGCCCGCCCGAGGGGGTTTGTGAAAACAAAGCCTCTCCTCCATCCCGTCTCGGCCAAGAAGGCTGTCCCGGGGTCCCTGGTTCTGTTTTCTTGTTAATGCTGTAGTTATTGTTGTTTGTTTGCCTGGTTATACTGGTAAAGAACTGTTATTCCTATCCCCACATCTCTGCCTGAGAGCCCCTTGATTTCAAAATTATAATAACTCGGAGGGAGGGGGTCTACATTCTTTCATTCCAAGGGAGGCTCCTGCCCTCCCTAGCAGACACCTGTCTTCTAGAACCGAGACATTCACTTAGGAAACATATAAAACAACACAAATAACAAAAATAGTTGTTGTTGCTACTCTGAACTGCTTTATGATCCTAGGGTCAGGAGAAATATCTTGAAAGAATTTATATTAATCATAACAACCAATGTGAGTTCCTACAGATTGATGCTATTTAAAGTTAATACTAAAATTACTCTCAGAAATAAAGGCAAAAACACGTTACATCAGTTTTTACCTATAGTATTGTTGTGAATTCATGTTGTAAATATTGGCTTTTCACAATTATTCTGATAAATATATTATATGCTTTCACTATATTCTTTTCTCTCTTAGCAAGTTATAGGCTTAGATAGGAATTCTGAACGGTAAAGATATGTTTCATCCGGACAACAATGGGAGGATCAAGCTGTGGAAAACAGGCTATTATCAGCAGCAGGAAATGGAGAGCAAACTGTTACCAAAAAGCTGGTACCAGGACGTTGGCAAGGGGGAAAGATATGAAGCCCATCTGCTTTCTGAGGAAGGATGAGGGGCCCAGACTCTTATCAACAAGTGACCATCTGCAGCAGAAAGGAAACCAAAAACTCCAAAATAATGCTGACCAGCTAGAATAATGATGACCAGCAAAAAAATATGCTGACCAGCAGAAAATAAAACTGTAAAAAGCATGATCCAAGAAGGCAGAACCAGGGAGGGGACATGCTTGAATATGCATTAACCTCTCACAGCAAGGATGGGATAAAAAGGGTATTCCCGAGATACCAGGGGTGCTCTTGGCAGCACGCCAAGGCACCTGGCTGTATCTCTTTGCTTTACTTTATGTCTCTTATTGCCTTTATTAAACATTTTTAAAATTTTACAGGAGTGAACTTCGTTTTTCACAGTATAATGCCAGTACTTTGACATGGATGCAGAAATAAATGCATCATTATTTAAGCTGCACTGACTATGCTCCTATCATAAATAAAACTCTTACAGAGTACTTTTACTATATTTTTCCTTGCCTAGAACTGATTAAATATTCTCCATCATGATTAAAAATGTATGTAATAGATTTTGATTGTTTACCCAATATATTCTAAGCATGCAGAAGAATGAGTAGAACTATTCTGACTAAACAGAATCTGGTCCACTATGACAAAAAGATATATTTTATCAATGTATTTCCCTCTCTTTTATATGGGGAACAATCTGAATTTGCTTTGTATATCCTTCTGAAACGACCACCAGTGGTACTGTACAGAAGGAGATACTGGACTTACAAAACCTTTGCTCCTTAATGGTCTATTGGCATTAATTGCATTTACAGTCTGTTTCACTTCTTATCAGTAGCAAGTCCCTTCCTAGCAATAACTTCTGAATATGTGTTAAACTGGGATGTGATAACACAAATGGAATGTCAACTGGAGCAAACCCAAATATTACAGTTTATTTCAAAGACCAAAGTTGTCAGGGACAGAGAAGGCATTTTAATCTGAGAAGTCACCTCAGCAGTAGTATCTAATCCTCAAAAGAGATCTATTCAATATTGCAGCTGCAAATTTGAGCATGGCCAGAAGGCCAAAAAGAAGAAAAGAAGTATATTTCTGCAGCTCTTTCCAAAAAAAGTAATTAAAAGTGCGTGTTCTCTTCTTCTCATTGCTCTTAGAAAGTACAAGGAAAATCAAAATGTAAAAGGGTGCTGCAGTGAGTGTAGAAGCAGACATAAATTTGAAAGCAGTTTCGAAAAACAGACAGCAAGTAGAAAGCTGAAAATTAAGATTCTCTTATCACTACATTAGGACATGCTCAAAATATATCATGCATATTGGCTTATTGTTTTTTGACTACGTTCAGGTACAGAATCAGAGTAATATCTGATATATTGTATCATGAGACCACTTCCCCACTGGAGGTCTTGAGGCTTTCTTGTTTTCCAGGTTGTTGTCTAAAATTTCTTTTATTTCCATCCAGTAGCAGTCCTGTTGCATTTTACTTTTACACAAGTTATCAAGAGAAAACTAGAAAGAGGCTATAAAAGATAACATATGTATGAACTTGCTCTTATTACACACTGGAAGGCAGTTCTGAAAAATCACATACCGGTGTACCATTTTCATTGATAATTCTTTCCTTGAATTTATCTTTTAGTTAAAAAAAAAAAAGTGTGAAACTTGTATGTGTGTATATGGGTATGTAAATGGAATATAAGATCTTGTTAATGAGAAAGAAGAGAAAGACATACAACAATAGTGGAATTTAGGTGAGGCAGTTTAGTTCTATATTCATGGGTTTTTTCCCCAAGAATTTAGGAGTTGGACAAACATTCATAAGCAAACTATCAGTTTGTTATTACAGTAAATAGAAATTTGCTATCATATGGCCTGTAGCAAATGAATGTAGAATGTAGAAATGTGCATGTGGTGACGCCTTTTTGAATAGCAGAACATAATTTCTATCCTTTTGAGTTTTGTTTTGATTTTGTGTGGTTGGAGTTTTTTTAACAGACTTGCACCAAATACTTTAAAATACTGAAATAAAATTTCATCTCCCACGCATTGAGTATGTGAGCAGAAATGGACAATTTTTTGATATTACTTTCATATGGAGTTTAGATGTAAAAAATGATTAGCCATTTGTAGTGTGTACTTTGGGATCTGATTTTGAACAGTTGTACACCCACATGAGAATTTGTCATTATTTCATGTTAGTCATACTCCATTAAATAATATTTTCATGGCAGAGAATGTCCCACGAGAAGAACAATTAAATGGCAATGGGATAAATGATTTTCCATGGACTCAAATAACTGAACAAATACCTAGAGGAAACAGAAAACTGGATTTGCCAAAAGAGTGACTTAAAAACACTGTTGTTGCTGTTTTCAGATGAAGAGAAGGAAGAGGGGTCAGTTTGGACTGAGATCAAGAGTCAAAAGAGGGATGCTTAGGATCAAATAACCTGTTAGATGCAAATAAATTTCAGTGTCCTTTTGCTCTCCTCAACTACTTTCTCACCTAGAACATATCAAGATCATGATGTCAAGAAAAGGATTAAGGGATTTTACAGATAATCAGAATTTGAATCAACAAGTGAAAGAAGTTAGCAGAGTTCAAACTGGAAAAATTATGCCATATTCATTAGTGAGACAGTGAGGGTGGATATCATGGAAGATGATGAATTTTTCATCACCTTCAGTTAGGATTAATGTCCTTCTAAAAGATTCACTCAAATCAGGATTTTGCAAGTCAGATGTAGCAATGACTTTCAAGAATTCAATATTAATATTATCTAAGAGGTCAAACAGACATTTTAAATATTTCTCTGACTTTGAATTCTATGAATATTATTAATATATTTAGCAGAAAAATCTAACACATGTAACAGGATATATATCAATGAGTAAAACATTAAATCAACTTCTGCCATAAATAAAACCATTTTTTTTTTTTATACTTGTGCCTAAAAAGAAAACAAAATAAATTTAATAATTATATTGGATAATTGTAATTAATGTTGTAAAATAGATATATGCTAAAATCTCTATACAAGTAATAATTGCAGTAAACATAGTTTAGTGGTTATAAAAAAAGTGTCTGTCTGATAAGCTTGTTGAATCACCTGTTTTAGAATATATGTAGAGAACAGCAGAGGTAATTGTAAATGGTAATTGTAAATTAATTTATCAAATTATATCAGTTCAAGCTATCTTCTCACTTGAAAATGCTGAGGGACATGTGAATTCTTCAGATGATGCAAATCACAAAAGCCACCTGCTGAGGTGTAAGGATCCTTAAAAAACACTTTGGATCAAGCTTCAGGAAAAAGCAGCACATATATTACATTCTCCATCTGCAGGATGTGATCAAAATGGGTCTCTCAAAAAAAAAAGCTTCAACCTCTAAGTGCTTTCACTGTGGTCACAGCTGGAAGCTGGGCTGTGGTTTCATAGGCCAAGCTTTTACACTTTTTGCTGATAACTATTAGAAGTATGTGGAGTGCTGACAGATTCTTTTCAGGCACTGACCTAGATTTAGCCTGATTCAGTTCAAAGGCCTTTTCATAGGAGAAATGCCCCTCCATTTATTCTGTCTAATTTATGCAACTTTTGTACTCTAGAAGACTCTACAGCTTGTAGTATGCAAAGACAATTTCAAGCATCAAGGAAGTACACTAAATATGAGCATAACCCTGTTTTATCTTCTCTTTGTCTGATGGCAATAAAGATTATTCTGTAGCATTGTAAAATCATTATATGTGAACTGTTCCCAAAAGAGAGGCATCTATCAAAACTTCAATCTCATTATGGATTGGAGAGCTTTTATCTCCAAGTTCAAGTTCAGGAGTATGACTTTGACCTTCTCAGAGCACCTTTAAATTCACAGAAATTGGTGTCTTTGTTGTGGGCACCTACTCATGGATATAAGCAGAGCAGCTTACAGAAATTTTCTACTGTATTCATCATAGGCTTAGATTTCACTTTTCCACTCCTTAGAAAATTCTTTTTCACATAAAGAGAAGCTGGGCATTTACCACTTCTCTCATCTAAATAATTTTCTTTTTAAAGTTCACCTATCCTAAAATATCCATATTACATTCCAATGAGTACCTTTCTACCTAAATCTTTCCAACCTTACAAAAAAAATCAAAAAATCCCAAACCTGTGTTTTTCTTACTAAAATAGCTGTGCTTACCTTCAGCTGACCTCAAAGACAGGAAGATGACACTGGTTACTGCCATTCAGTACATTCTGCTCTTTTCAAAGTTTTTAATACCTGTAATAAAACCTATATTTTATTATGTTAATGTTTTAACCCTCCAGAGTTCCCGTTCCTTGTATTCTGCTTGTCACACTACCAATTTGCATATTTTCTTTAAATCTTTTTTAATCCTGTCCTTTCTAGATATAAGTAATGTAAACAGCATCTACATCTTCAACCAATTTAAGATTAATGCAATACATTCTGACTTCTCAGATTATCACCAATGGCAAAAATAAACCATGAAAAATTAGGGCAGAGTAATTATTGATGTTTAATTTGTAAATATGCAACTGAAATGCTAAATCTAGTTGTCTTTGGTTTTCTTTTGTGGTCAATAGTGAGTAAGAAGACACTTAAATGTACCTAAAGGTGGCTTCTCCTTCAATTTTCTTACTGAAAGCTGACTATGTAGGGAGCCTAAAAATTATATTTGACTGACCAAATGCAGATATGAAGAGCTGTTCTGGTCACTTGAGGCTTCTTTTCAAGGTCAGTGGGAAAAATAGGGAGTAAATCTTCTTTAAACTGCATGTCTCTAATAGGTCTAATGAATCACTTTCTGCTTCTCCTGTTGACCTTAAAAAGGAGACTCAAATTACTTTCTTAAGTGCATATGCCTTCAGCTTATGTTGTAAATGCCAGAAGTTGGTGAGATCAATTCCACACAAACCTCCTAATTTAGATTATTAAATTTAGGTAGCAACTTCGTGCATAGCTCCAGGCTATCCAGTAATTAAACTTTCTTTTCAAGTACTGAAAAGCGTACTATTTTGTTACCTCCCAGCTCATGTTTAGTTTTCAGGCATCAAAAAGAATTTAGCAGATACATTCGACCCCCAAACTTTCCCCCCCTTCTCCTTCCAGGCCTGTAGTTCCCATCCCATATCCACTTCAGACAGACATCCAGATTAATGTAGTAAGTCTTTAAATTGAAATGTAATGTGGGCAAAGCCAGCTCCTCTTGTGAGGCCCCTATGACCCCAACTCTCAGCAGGATCATTTGTTCCTTCTGAACAGTTGGCTCTGGGATACTGGACAAATTTTTGGATGCAACAGGAAAATTCTAGTTCATAAAAGGTGTGTAACTATTGCAATTATACATTGCTTTGCCTGGAAACAAGGGAGATCCTTGGAGACATTCGGCTGAAATGGCTGCCAGAGAGTTTTCACAGTAATTTATGAAACTGGATGATCGATCCCCCAGACACTGGTGTTGTTGAACAAAATAGGACCAGAAGCAGAGAGGTTTCTGACCTGGACATTAGGAGAGAATGTGTCATCCTTTCCTCATAGAGTTCTGTCTCAGCTCAGAATCTCTAAATTTTGTGTTGAATCTCCTTCCAGTTCATAGCTGGGACATCAGCAAACTGAACAAAATGAAATCAAAGTTTGAATAAATGCAAACTACATATTTTTCTTATACACTTGTAATAATATACTTCTAACTTTTTAGCAGAATTTTTACAAATAAGAGGCCACTGTTTATCAATACAACTTAAAGTGGCTCCTGTTTGGCAATAATTGTTATCAAACTCTTCAATGATTTTTATTTTTTTTTATTTTTTAAACTATTTAGAATGCTCTACAAATCATGAGAATATTTTATTGTTAATAGAACTGCCTCTTCAAAAACAAGACTGTACTTAAAATATACACATACGATGGTGGGAAATTCTAAAACAGTTTGTGAATGCAGTGATAAATTGCAGCTGTTGCTTTGGGCCACATCTTTTAAAGAGATAGTAGGGTTGCTTCTGCAGGAATATAAGCAGCTCAGGAAAAGCCTTTTTCACAACATAGAAAGATACCATGTACCTTAAGCAGCTGAAAGACTTGAGGACTTAATTTGGGGAAGGACAGCAGAGATGTACTATAGAAATACAGGGAATTATCAGTGACTATGGACTATCCAGTAGAAACATGGAGGAAAATGGTTAAAGAGAGAGCAGATAATACGCTGGGATGGTGGATTAACAGGCAGAGTCTGCACTGGGGCTAGAGGATTTGTATGTATATTTGTGTACATATATGACTATTTTTTCTTAAGTTTTCTACAGAATATAATTTTCTTTTACTAGTCTTGTCAACAGTTTTTAGAACCATTCAACAACATGAATATACCCTACTGTGTGTGAAAAATAAGTAGTACCTATATTCAGTCATATTTATCACACAAGTTAAATATCACATCACATCACCAGTCTCCTTTTTAATTACTAGCCGTACTGAAAGATGCTGGCCTGATTTACAGGCAGTACAGCAAATGTAAGATTACAGAGACTTGATAATGAGCTGTAAGCACCTATGAAAATGAGGCCAACTTTATACTTGGGTATTGCACAACCCAGGGCTAATGAAGCAACCACAGTGCTGAACATCTCCTGTATAAAACATTCATAATGAAAAGTACATACTGCAGTGTGGAGGCTGGTACTTTGAGAGTCTGTTGGTTTTCTTAGTCACCTACTTTTCCTTGAGCTTTGCAATATCAATGAGCACAGAAGGTTGCAAAAGACAATGACTTTGACTTTTGCTGACTGTAAGCATGAAACTGTTTTATTTTATACAGTCTTTATCAATGTATTTTAATACCAAAATATTGGCACAATTTGCTAAAACAAAAATCACCACAATAGGAAATATTCTAAATACAGAGAAAATAAACCTAAATTTTAAACAAAATGTCTGACAAGAAAGCTAGTTCTTTCTAGGTTTTAAGGTTTTTATTTTGATTTTTAATGCTGAAAAAATTTTCATCTATCTTTTACAAATTTCATAACTTCATGTGTCATAATGAAGTCCGTTCTGCTTACTTCTGAAGCCAGGAAGTGGCATATATTGTGAACCTTGCTAACCTTCTGTTTCATCCTGCTTAAGTTCCTGAAGGGATTGCACAGCTTCAGCACAACTTTCTCTTCGCATTTTCAAAACTAACATCTTAGAAGAGGTACTGAAAAAAAACTTTGACCAACTTTCAGCCCTACTGTAAAATGCCTGAATTCTGAAATTTGTGAAGCTTAGGCTATACTCTGGCTAAATTTGTCCCACTGTTCCTGTAGAAACAAAGGTGTTTGTAGCAAACCTGTTAGATGCTATTCAGAGCCTATAGTTCTGGTTTAGTGTTTGAAAGTCTTATTGCCCATGAAATGCTTGTTGAGTTATATTGAAGAATTACAATTTTAGAATAAAAATTCCCAAATATTCTGTACATGTATTCTGTATATAATCTGTATATATAAATATAGTATTATATATAAGTATAGTGTGTGTGTGTATGTATATATATATATATGTATAATATATAGTAAATATAGTAAATATAGTATTTGAGTAACAAGAATATTTTTTTGCAAAATCTAATGCATTGCTGCTTTCAAGTTCCTTGAGAAGTGTAGCAAGGGATTGAAAAACATGGTTGCAGTCCATGCATGCCCAGGAGAACTTAGTGCTTAGAAATGATTAGAGGCTATTCTTGTGATGTAATGACCTCCCTGAAACTGGCCAGGAATGTATTAACAGCTGCACCTCCTCCTCACTAAATTCAAACCATTACAAAGCACTGATAGATTAAAGTGTTAGAAAGTAATTAAACCATAATTGCACAATGAAAAATAAATATTAGAATGGTGAAGAAAAGAATAAACTTACCAGAATATTAATGTTTTGGTTTTTGAATACAATATAGCAATGTAATCCACTGGACTACAGCATCTTTTCTGGCAGCAATGGGAATTTACAGAAGAATTAACAGTTTTGTTGTTCAATACTGCAAATTAAAATATGAGATGTACATTTTAAAAAAAAAGTCTAAAACCACAGAGGCTTGTAGTTTGGATAAAACTAATCTCTATCACTCATATCGACATCTTTACATGATGCAGCATTTTATGTAAATCAGGCTGTATTTATATCCTCAAAAAAGCCAAAAATTAGACAGGACTTCGAGACTAATTAATTGTAACAAAGAACCTGATACTGTAAAGACTTGAGCACAATTCACAGAAGCCTGAGAAGAGGCATTTTATCTGCATCCAGCTTCTAAAATATAGAAGCATGGTATCATCTAAATTGTGATTCCTTTGCAGCATCTGAGCTGCCTGCACTAGTGGGAGGTGTCCCTGCCCATGTCAGGGGGTTTGCAAATAGATGATATTTAAGGTCCCTTCCAAAAAAAGTCATTCTGTAATTGTATGATTCTATGATCTGTAGAAAAATATGCCTAGAATCTTTCTGTTTTAAAAAATTATCAAGACTTTTGTTTCTTTCCTGATGAAAGCTTGGTATTCTGATTAGCCTTAAAGTGCTGGTAGAATCCAACACTTGCCCTTCACCAAAAATGACCCAATTGCATTAGGTATTTTTAAACTGAAGATTACCTGAATAGAAAAGATCAGGCTGAAATGTTTTAATTGCATTAATTACTTTAAGTAATTCATTAAAATGTCAAAACACTGAGAAATTATGCTCTCCATAGTTCATGTATATATGATCTTGTTTGCTTTAATGTTTATTTTTTATCACTCATAATCATTTTACTCAGAAAAGTTGCTTCTCTGTCTATGTAAGGAGAACAATGAAAAATTTGTTGTTTCAGGCCATGTCAAATGTGAAAAACTTGTGCAAAGATCTGAAAGCATATTTTTAAATTTTTTTAAATTTAACTTTTAATTTTTTATGGAAATAAAAATCTCTTAAATAAATCTCTGAGAAAACATGGACTATGTGATACTGTAATCTCTCACTCTCCTTTATATTTTCCAGTATTCATAGAGAATGGGTTTTAATTGATTGTTCGGTGCTCCAATAATTATCTCAGACAGAACTAGAGTTTGCTTGTGTTTTAGTTGAAGCTTTAAAGGACAAAAGGAAAAAAAATTATCTTGATTTCCTTGTCTTACAAAAAAAGTAAGACATAAAAATATGCTAAGTAAATTGAAAGCCAGTAGAAGGTTTTGAAGTGCAGTGCAAACTTGGATACAAAAGCCAGCAGACACTGAAGGATTGTAAGCATTTGACATTTCCAATCAAAATATGACATGATTATACAATACATAAATATATTTCTGAGAAATATTTTTCAAAAATCATCATTAGCCTAGTAGATGAAAGCATCAGAATATTCAATGACTGGAAGGTAAAACTGGATAACATTAAGCACAAAATTAATTATTTTCAATAGGCAAAATAAGTAATGGTTGGAGCTTCTTTAGAATTCATGGTTTAGGGTTCACATTCAAGATATATTATGTAGAAATTAATATGTTGAATGTGGAGCCATTGAAATGCAGAAGAGAAAGGAAAAACAATTGTGAAGACATGCAAAGTGAAGCTAAATCAGAAGTCTGAGAGAAAAAGTTCAAAATATTTACCCCATGAGTTTTCCACAGAACTTAGAAAATATGGTTAGGACTTAAGGAATTTCTTCACTGTCTTCAGAGCAGAATACAATTCTGTATATGGGAGATAATGGGAAGGACCAAGAAAAAGCTAAAGAAGAAAGCAGAAAAATGCCAAGCTCACAGCTGTGGTATTTCATTGCAAATCAATGATTAATTCCTAATGATACAACTTGAAGATGCAAAGATGTGATTGAGACTTTCAGTTTCCTAAACTTGCACACTTGCATTCAGCAAAAATAAAGGATAATTATTTATTGAGCATATTTTCAGAAAAACCAACATCAATTTTAGATACTTTGCACCAAGAATTTAACTTGTGTTGCTCAGTCTTTAAAGATTCCTGTCAAAGCATAATATTATTGTCCAGAAACAAGCCCACAGCTAACCAAAACCATATCTACAGAAGCCAAATCCTACCAGGTAAAAAAATTAATCTGAGAAGTCTTTGATTTTCCCTTGTTTTATGAGCCCTAGTACAACAATCTTGATTTTAAGAAATTAAGGCTTTATTATATCCTTTCCATAGTAGTAAGCTGTATTTCCACAGTTATGTATATAAACATAAATACTAATATATGAGCACATATAAACCAATCATATTTAATGAATTGTAAGACTGAACACATTACGTTTGTGTTTTAAGGTTTTTGCTTTCATTTTTACTAAAAGTGTAAATCCTAAAATTATTTTCATGTGAAAATTCTTGGCATAACTTGAAAGAGCAATAAACTGTTTCACATCAGCATTTCTAATTTTTTTAAAATCAGAAGTCTGCAAATGAAAGTAGTGAAATTCCTACCTCTCACTTTTCTAACTCTCCTCCAAAGTCAGACTAAAGACTGACCCATCTTTACGTGTGAGTCATACTTTAAGCAGTTCTCTGACTCCCCAGTGGATCTTTCCATGCTTTTAGAGACGATGGGCAATGCAAGACAGGGATTTATTTCACCACAGAATGATGAGGAACAAAATGACTGCAGAAATTTATGAACTTATGTGAAGAGAGATAGCACTGTTGGGAACAGTGCCACCAGATATGTGATAAAATGCATAGTCTGGATAGGTTTGGGTTTTTTAAAATTAAATACTGCACAAACATGAACATATATAATGTAAATTCTTGCATTTGTAATATATAGTAATAAATAGATGTGAAATAAGTAAAAAGCTCAGCACACCTAAATTTACTTTAATAATTCATCCACGTTAATGAAATCCTAAAAATTTCACATCATCAGTTAACTACAGAGGGAGAAGAATTTTTATTGCAAAAAAGGTAACCAATGAAGAAACTTCTCGTAGAACTAGAGTGTCAGATGATGCTATGCATGTAACTTTTATCTCTAAAAGCAGAAAAGACTCTTACTTTGCAATTACAGAAGGATGGAACAAGAAGTATCTAGATCTATCTAGTATCTAGAGTATCTAGTCAAAAATAGGTGATTTTTTTGCAATATATGATCTTTAATTCATACAGGTAGTACCTATTTGATGATGAAAAAACACAGTAACTAGTGTAAATAATGTTAGAATAAAATTTCATTCAATTTATAGCTAAGTCAATACATCAATATTACTAGTGTGATTCTAGACAATTATAAGCAAGTCTAAGCCTCTCAGATCACACGGATCTGTTATCTGTTAAAAATACTTTTATTACACAGGAAAAGATTGTGTTATAGAGCTTTGCTCTGTAAAGCAAAATGATCCTTTGGTTGGATTCCAAACTGTCTGCTGGAAAACTGGAAAGCTACTGCCAGGGGATCTGGACTATTTAGTTACATATACGTGAGATAAAGAAAAGAAAAAAAGTAAGGATTATGAGTTAAATAGAAAGAATTTACCACCTATGAATGGACAGTGCCTAATATGAATTTAATTCTCAGAGCTGAGTACTAAGGGAGATAAAAGGAAATAAATGAACTAACAGCTTAAAAGCCAATGACAACAAAACACTAAGTTTTAACTTGGAGATTAATCAGGCTACCTTAAACATGTGGAAGATTCACTGATCTTGTCCATTCATGTTACTGCTGTCTCTAATACATGGAAAAATTATTTTGATTATGATGATTTTGACCTCTCTGTGAGAACAGTCTTGCGCATTAAATAACTTATCATTCAGTAGTACTGTTACTAGTACCCTGAATGTACTGATAACCATCAGCAGTTCAGGGCTTAGAAAAGTCAATCTGAGCATTGAAAGGACAGCATTGCAGTTTTGCTCAGAAAAAAAGACTGAGCAAAGCTTGCAAAAGGATTACTTACTTCCAACAAACATTAACTAACTTCTCATTTCAATCATCTAGAATGGGCCTTTTGATATTAGAAAGCTCTTAGAGGATAATGAAGATTAATAAAACTTACAGCACACTGTTATAGTTTCCTGCCAATTCAATGAAGTCCTGTCAGAATTCTTCTGGGATAATATTGATCACATACAAAGAATTTTTTGACCTGCCAAAGCAAGCTGTAAAACTTTTTTCAGAAGAAATCTGAAAATCACTAATGCTATTGAAATTACATCTATTATAAAAATTTGACTTACCAATAAAATTGAATTACATTTAACATTATAATTTAAAAATAATAGTAATTCATAATAATGAATTACATATTTTAACATTATTTACACTAGTTACTGTGGTTTTTCATTATCAAATAGTAACCAATATCTTTGGTAAAAACTGTAACCTCAGATAAATGAAGATGAGAAATAAGAGTGACCAAATAAAACATGTACTCAGAAAGAAGAATTTTCCTTTCCTATGTGCTATTTTACAGAATAGCAGGCATTGAAGATTTCAGGTGGAGTGCAGTAACATGGATACTTACTCCTCAAAGCAAAAATAAATTAAAATTGCAAAATTATATTACAGTTTCATAAAAGGTTTCACAACAGCTCCGGAAAGTTGCCTCTTAATGTTCACACTAGTTATTACTCAGCAGCACGCAAAATTGTGCTTTGGTATTTAAAAAGGAAATGAGTAAGTAAAATCCCTTGTATTAAACAGCTTACCAAAAGGTAGTGGTGCAACTGTGATTACAAAAACAGTGCAATTGTTTCTTCTGGCCATAAAAAATGTATTGAAGTCTATATAATTTCACAATGATTGATTGGGGTGCCCTCTGTATAATATATAATATTATATAAATATGTAAATACAGAAAGATTATCCTCTCTGAAAGAGAATATACCAAAAGAAGCATTTTGAATTTAACAGGTATTGTCATCTATGTGTAGAACTCTAAGTATTTTGACACGTGCAAAATGAAATGGTAAAGAGAGTTAAATAAATTCTTAAGCAATAGAAAAGTTAAATAAAACTGTGAATGACTGTGACTTCAGTCATAAATTGTAAATAATATTTTAGCTACCTTCCAATAATTCCTTCTGGCATATATGGCACCTTTATTCATGAGTTGTATTCTCAGGTTCTAAGTATGTGGAAGAATTTATTTGTGCACAAAATTAAATCTGGAAAGTTGATTTTAAAGGCCAGCAACAAACACATTCAAAGTAATTTAAAAATTAAAGTTAACTTCCAAGCAGTGTTTTTTAAATCATAAAGAGAATAAGATGTTGCTTTAGAATGTCTCATAACTAAGGTAGGCATTAATTTGGTTGACATTAACATGAAGACACTTTTGTATATTCTGTTTCATAAAACAATGAAAGCCAAAAGAAACTCCAACAGGCCCAAGGCATTCACAGTTGTGTAAAACTGATTTGAAAAGAGAATATAGACCATTTCCTCTGGCATCTTACCAGATACAATTTTTATCCTAGCACTGCATGGATTATATTATTCTAGGCAGTGGCTCAATATATGTTATAGATTCAGAGATCCTCCCCTCTGCTTACAATATGTATTCACAAGTTGCAGTAGAAGAAAATAACAGCAGTGTAAGAACAGGAATAACTGCTGCCATTGGCAAAGTTTTCTATGGTGTATCAGACAGCTGCTCATTAAGAATTTTTTTGCTTCTTTGGTGGCTTAGCACTTAGGAAAAAAAAAGTGGAAAACATCCACGGAAGTGACTCCTCTGAGAGAGGCTACACTGAGTTTCTTCTCTGCTTGAGACAAGGCCAATATCTGGCCATTTCTGAGTATTGACAGCATTTTTCACCACTGAAAAGTGAGATCACCTTTGTGAATACCACCTTTTACACCTAAGCCCGGAGCTTCTGACTCTCTTTGTTTCTGGCCTTGAGAGGTTTCGAGCTCTGGTGCGGCTGGCCCGCTCCCCCGCCCGGCCTGTGTGGCCTGTGGGGAGAAGAGGCCGGGCCGAACTCCAGCAGCTCCGGGGCGGGAGACAGAGACTGAGGGGCTTTCCCCAGCGCCAGGCTGGGCCGGGCTCTGCTGTGGCCCCTGGGCTGGGGCGGGACACGGCTGCCGACATCTCTCCCCACAAAGGCCAGCACAGACGCCTCCAGGCAGAAAAGCAGTTGGAAAACTATCCACTGCCTTCCAGCGCTGCCAAACTGAACTCTGACACCCTGAATACCTGGCCGGGGCTTGGGCCAGATTTTAACCCTCTCACTACCCAGATGAAACCTGCAGATTTAATCCACTCTCCAGAGAGAGGAAAGCGAGAGCAATCAACATATAGAGACAACATGAACCATCAAAGTCAATGAGAGAGAAGAGTCAAGCCTCAGATGGAAGGAGAATGAGGAGATGCTTTAATAAACTGAAATATTCTTTTAGTAGAGCCATGGAAATAGACAATAATGTTCTGAAAAATTCCAATAATTCATGGAAGAGTGCTGGGGGGAATGAACTGTTAAAACTGTAAATCTGAGAAAAAGTATCCATTGATGAAGCTGAGCAGATGTTGGAGTAGCTGTGATCCCATGAGATGCCTGAACAGAGAGAGATGAGAGTTGATAAAGACCCTTTACCCCAGGGAGAAAAGGATCATCTCTGTTCCCAGAGATGATCACAGAGACAGATGAAGAAAATCTTTGCCTTTGAATAACTCATCCTTAAAATAATACCCCTTGAGTTCATAGCCCATGAACACACCTCAGAGTGGTGTGAAAATGGGAGGAAAACACGATAGTAGAGTTATTTCCAGGCACCTGCAAGACATACAAATGAAAAGCCACAGTAAAACTGTTTTTCTTGTGGAGAACTCTCTAAAGAGAAAACTCCTCTCCTGTAAAGACTGACTATTGTATAATTAGCACTGCTTTAAAGTCCCAGGTTTTGTCTCAGTGTTGTCAGTTGGGAAAGGAAAAAGTTAGATAGGTTGGGGAGAAAAGGTTTCTGGAAGTTTTATTCTGGTTCCTTATTCTTGTAGATCTGTTAATAAACTTTCTTTATTCTTTTTAAGTTTTAAGCCTATTTTGCCCTTCTCCTAATCCATATCTCACAACAAGAAATGAATAAGTACCTTAGTGATTCTAGCTAGAGCTAAAACCACCACATTATTTAGTGCATTAGCCAGGAAACGCAAATTAGCAAAACTAAACTACTATAGTTTCCTTGTCTCAATTACAACTGCTTGCTCTCTTCTTCCTGTCTTCAATTACGTATATCCCATTTTCACATTTGCTCTTGTGTCCTGTAAATTCATTGGCATTGTGAAATCACTCAGCACACACTGGGCCTATTTAAATTCACAATTCTTGAGCCATGAGTTTGGCTCAAGAGTGTACTTTTGAAATAAATCCCTTCTTCATGCTCTGTGTATCATGAGTTGGCTCACATCACAGAACAGGTGTATTATGTACAAGAGAATTCCTGTGTGAAACTGAACTGAAAGATGTCCTCCAATGCACCCCCAGCACTGGTCATTGCATCATCTGCATCAACTGCTTCTCCTACACACCCGCTCCTGTTGGATTGTACTTCTTGCTAATACCTGCAGCTGCATGCAACCAGCAACAAGCCAAATGTTATCTCTTCCTTGCCAAAACAATCCATTTCCTTCAATTTTGATGTGTCTTTGGACACATAGCTGAATTCTTTTTGTAGTAAAAGAATGTGATGAAGAATACAGCTTCTCGACACAGGAGTTGGAGACAAGGCTGCTTGGGAGTATATTGTGAGATAGCAACAGATCTGTCATCCACTTTAGTGTGATAAATGCATATGAGGAGCAAAACATGCAATATGTGCATTGTACCACTCATAGGGTGGGAAGGGTGAATCCCATTATTATCTGGGAATATTTCCATATGTCTGTCCTCACCTCATACATAATTTAGTTCACCTTCCTTTCACATTTTAATAATAGTCCTCAAAATGAACTAGTAGTAATAAAATTGAGGTGGTGATCTCCTATGGTGACCAAACAAAGTATGGTGTCTATGCTTATTCCCAATGCTAACTTTGAAGAAGGGTGGAAGATAGGGGTCCTTCACAATTGTGATTTACATGTTGAAATAAAGAGAATGAAGTGACCGTATGTTTTGTGATTCTGACTGAAGAGATTGTCATCAAGTCATATATCTGTCCAGCCAGATGACTAGTCCGAACCTCTTCTGTTATACTGGTAATTTCCTGGGGTGAATAGCATTTCTTTAAGATTACAACAAGCTTGGAATTTCACCATTATTTCTGAGGGTGGTGTGTTTACACTGAGTCATCCATTCTGATGCTCTCACCTTTCTCGGAAGTTCCTTTTAGTAGAAGTTTTATTTTCTTTTCATTTGCTTGAAGACTCAGATGAGGCTTTGAACTAGTTTCAAGGATGTTAGCAAATGCTGCAGGGTCAGCTGGAGTGATTGGAGGTTGGCTCTGGGGAGCAGCAGAGCTATCCTAGTGGTGGAGATCTCCAGGCTGAATCAGAGAACTCTGACTTGAGCTCATCTGCAGCTTCAAAGTTTGATGCTTAAAGACTCATGTCTACCCCTACTCTTTTAGTGGCCTTAGCTTGGGTTTCAGGTACTCCATGAAGAAAGATCATACTGAGAGTAGGCCCTTGCACTGGGATACCATCAGCATCAATGTGCAGCTGTGCCTGATCTCATACATCACCTATAGCTTGAATTCCATAGACAAAGTTAAACTTGTAAGAAAGAAAGCCATCAGAGTATATATCAGGTACATCTGGTTAGTACTGAGACCAAATGAGGCCAATAGCTACTTACAGCTAGCTATCAACCCTTTCACTTCAACCACTTAAAGCCCAAGATACCTTTTTTAATTATCATTAAAAAAAAACCACCAGAGCTACCTCCATCTTACTGCTCCTAAACAGGCTGCTTTCCCTCTATCCCAGTTCTCCTGTGGATTAAATTCTCATCTTCCTGCAGCCATCTGCAACTTTTTTTTGCAGATTGACTCACCTGCCTCCTTTAAACCTGATTCAATCCCATGGGCACACCTTGCTGTGACCTTTTACAGCTAGCTTCCACTTTGCTCTCAGCTTGATTAAATTTCCCTGGTTTTCCTCCTTCTGTGCTCCTATTTGCACATCTCTCTTATACAATCTATTTGGCCTTGTCCTCTCTTTACCTTTGTTTCTCTTCAGTTCTCTTCCTCCTGCCTTCTATTTACATTCTTTCAAAAGGAATAGGGCTATCCTTCCTGTGCTCCAAATATTCTTCTTTTTTCCTTCTAATACATCCCTTTTTCTGTCCTCTTTTGCAAAGCCTTACTATAATAGATTTTTCTCACAGTGACCTTTTGTTTTCAAACGTGTTAGTCTGAAAATTTCTTAGCACTGAAACCTCAAGGATGTATGCAATGGTAAAATGAAAAGAATCAAACCTGAGTCCTTGACCCCTGGCTGAGCTCAATGTTCAGTTGTTCCTTCTCCCCCAGGCTTTGCCTGGATGGTTCAGACCAGTTTTCTCCAAAGCACCCTCACTTCATCTGCAGATGATTCACATTAGGGATTACACTGAAAAAGAGTGATCATAAGACTGCAACACTGTCAGCTCTCTCCACCCTGTACAATTCTTCACTATCATACTTAACAACCAAAGAACCCTAGGGCCTGTCATAAACAACATCAGTGCCAGGTGATAAGAACATTTTTGTGGAAGGTAGAACATTCCTCACATTAATTCAAGCATTTTGAACATAAAAGTAATTGTGTTGTAGGTCTACCAGATACCATGTAAGCCATGTGGTAAATAGCTGCCCTGCTGTAGAAGGAACCAGCAGCTGCACACAAATTAGCTTTAGGGACAAAGTTATTATTCTGAATTTTTGGATTTCACTATATAGGCATTTTTTATTATTGTTTTTATTATTTGTTCCCCTATGGAATGAGCTCAGCTCATATGATTCACAGTGCTTTACAGACATAATCTAATCCACCATGATGATACCTTCTCCATTGTCACACTTATGGCTCCTCAAAGCTACAACTGATCTCAAGACAAACATTTCATTCTTTCATTCAACACTTCTTCTGTCAAGTTAGTCCATACTATGTTCATGCTTGAACATACATGCATAGCCTATGGTGAAAGAAGTGCTGAATTTTCGAGGAGCCAAATTTCTATTGAGGCTTTCTTCTGCAACTGAAAGCATTAATGACTGCATGCTGCTGTTTCCTATCTGTGCCCACAATATACCTCTCTCCTTTTCCAAGAGAGTGGATCTTAGAGCCAAGAGTCATAGTCTTGATCCACTGAGTATAGTAGGACTTCCCAGTTTATTACAAACTGGATGCCAGGTTGTATTCTGATAGCTTACTCATTGACAAGGTGGCAAATAAATCTTTAAAGGTTATGTCAAGTATTAATGGAAAAGGAGAGACCAAGTGGAATTATGTTGCTGGTGTCCTATTGAGCAGCCCTGGTTTATATGATCATAATTACATGAGGGCAAAAAATGTCATCTCATTTCTACCAAAATCAGTGAAAGTCTGTCTGTCCATTAGTAGAGAACATGTGGTGATCATAGTTTGAATGGGAAAGTATTTTTTTAGAGCAGTTGATACAGATGGAAAAAATAGGCAAGCGTTTTTGCATAGACTTTTCTTCAGGTAAGAAAACAGAAACAGAAGCAAAACACTTCAAACAGTCTATGAAAATTGGTATCAGTTTCATCATATTCATCAGTCTGGAAAAAAAAGAGGTAGGATTTAGTAGTTGTAGGATAGGATGATATGTTAGCAAAGGGAGAAGGAGAGAAGTTCAGTAGCTCCTTTGAGAATACAGAAAAAGAAGTAATTATCTCCTATGGAGCAAAGAGGTAGGAGTGATGTTTGGCACAAGGGAAATTCTAAAGTCTTGATCTCATTATATGATTTTTATTTTTTTGTGGATTAAAGCTATGAGCTTCAGTTCTCAGGCTTGTCTTTTAATGATACTTTGAAAGCTTTC